ATCACATCAATAACTCTTCCTTCTTTTTCAACCACATATTATCCATCACATCACTTCAAAAAAATGCATTCTCTCATTTTAATATGCATCAAACCGGCTCTAAATAAAAATATATCGTTCGAAATTTATCCACTAATATTTATTTTCATTAAATTCTTTTGAATCATTTTATATTTTTTAAGAATTTGTATTTAATTAAGCTCATGTTTGATGGTCATTATTTGGTAAAAATAAAATTTTGAATGGTGAATTTATGGAAAATGTTTGGTTAAAATGTGGAAAAAATTGGATTTACGTGCAAAATATTTTATTGTATAAATATGTAGTTGAAAATGAGTATGTATAATAAAGGGTGTTGAAATAATTATTGTCCAATAGGAGCTAAAACTTTATTAATCATAAAATATCATCTTCAACTAAAATCATAAAATTCTAATAATCAAAAAATATTCTCTTCAACTGAAATCAAAACAACAACGAAAGAGATACCATTAAAGGAAATACATACAAGCATAGCAATAAATGAAGAAGAACTTGAAAAAGTGAGGATTGTGTTTTATTGTGGATTTGATGAACTTAGTATGCGAAAATTCTTAATTTGCATTTGAGTTAGTTTATAATGTGTCATTTGAATTCAAGTAATATCAGTAACAAATTTCATTATTTTTTTAATTATTTTTTGTTATATTTGTATTGGGTTTTGGGGTTTAGGAATTTGGGGTGGTGTGGAGATACTTAAATGAGTCAGAATTAAATGTGCATTGCATGTTATTCTGAAATACTTTATAAATATTGTAAAATGATATTTGATACCAATTTGTTGGGAAGATTTGATGAATCTCAAGCGAACTAAAAAAATAAAATAGAAAATAGAAAATTAATAGAAAAAATTGTACTATCAAAACTCAAATCTATGATAAAATACTAAAAATGAACAGCTTTTTGTATTACATTTGATATATATAGGAATTAATTAATAATACATGAATTTAAATACCTACTAAAATTCCTAGATACATTAATATAAATAAATTCATTTATAATAACTCTATATTTAAAATCAAGATTCATTGAGTCTAGATTAATGTGAATGTTAATTAAATGAGAATTAAAAACACGAAGTTTATACATGACAATGGTTTTGTAGTGTTTATTAAATTTTGAAAAATGAAAAATAAAGTATTATTGAAATAATTGAATTGCAGTAGGAATAAAATCGTCCAAAAATGATTCTCACTTAATGTGATATTCAATATATTATAGATATATATATATAGATTACATGATAGATAGATTTCAAAATTAGAACATTGAAAGGAAAATTTTTCCCAGTAAAAATAATTCAATCTCTTTACGATAAATAAGTTATTCAAGAAAGATAGGTAAATTAAAAGTGATAACAGAAAAGGGGTTTTAGATTAAATTAGAGTATATTACCCCCACGAGCAGAAAGAGCAAGAGGCCAACAATATTCAAGAAAGATAGACACTTGTATCCTGAAAATCCCAAAATGGGTTTGGTGATGGAATGAAAGAAAGTCGGTTTGTAGGTTGTGATTAATATTAAAGAATAAGGAAAACAAACATTTATGGGGATTTTTGCAGTGATAAATTGGCAGATTGATACCAAAATAGAGATAAGTGCAACTCAGGTATTCTACCTCGAAGAACAAACAATTAACTAGAGTAGAACAAATACAGGGTCTGACTCTTAGGATTACAAATATCCCTGGCGAATCGTTAAGTCTACAACACAATTTCTGATGTTAAGTTTCCTCGAGAGAGGTAATAGCATAGCATACTTTTGTTAATGCTCACATTGTTGGCTTATCATGACTGTTAAAACTAATATTAATATGATGGATCCCAATGATAAACATGAAAGATTTAGAAATTCATGATCTTTAAAGAACTCGAGATTTTATTTCTAATTTTTTGAATTCCTACAATGGAGGAGGAGAGCCCATTTTATAGAAGAAGAGCTTCATTCTACTTTTAGATCAACTGACACAATAACATAAACAGATACACAACTTGTTAAAAGTATACATGACTTTAATACAAATATTACACAAGTGGACATACAACTTTTTAAAAGCATACAGACTCTAGTACAATTATTACACAAGTGGACGTATAACTTTTAATAAAGTGGAATCTACTTTAATAAAGTAAACATCACTTTATCAATTATTTTGTAAAACGACAAACAACTCATACTAAGTGTCAAAGTTCTTAAATCTTAAGTGATTTTTTCGAATCATGGGGTGCCCAGATTTGTTGCCATAGCTAGTTTGTCCGAATCTTCAAAGTCTGATCGTATTCCTAGTGTTTTTCATCAAAACATACTTTCCTTCTTCTCTCTTTCTTTTTTTTCATCGAGTTGTTGTTGGAGCTTTTCAAGATTGTCAGGGCTGATATGGTCAGAACAGTAAGCCTATGGATTTTGAGATTCTTGGAATTAAGACTCTGGGAGTTGAGACATTATAGGTTCGAGCGACTTGAGTTTGTTCCTTCTTGTAGCATCTTTTCTTTCCCTTTTTTCTTGTGATATGTGGGTTTTCTCGTCCTGTATGGAGAGTGGTACGAAGGACATTTTCATTTAACATTTTCCAAAAAAAATTTAAGTTGTTATCATTCATGAGTGTCTTCTGAGTACTTAGCCGTCTGTCCAAAACTTTGTGTTGGTCGTCCCAAATACAATTGGTTCCAACAATTGTCAAAATGATAATCTTTGGGTAGAATGATTGGATACCAGTTGTGAATTTGGCTTAAGCTCTCCATACGAACCTAAATATCTTGTTGAATTCTTTGATCGTAATCTAATGGAAGAGTTTCCCATGGAGCATCATCTTCAATCTTAGGTCAAATTTCTAGAGGGATTATTTGATTAATTTCTATCATTTTTCTCTGGAATGTCTCAAATTCTTGAGGATATCTTTCACATTCCTTGTGAAAATTGAACGACTGGACCACATATTCCCGAACATGAGAGAAGTGTTCATAGTATCTTGATTAGTGAAATAACCCTGTCTTTGGAACACTAGGATTGCATGAATATTAATAGATAAAGTTCTAAGATCTTTGAATTTTAAATAAAAAAATTTCAAAATTTGTCTCTCCAATGAGAGTGGATAAAACCATTCAAAAAATCTTGCAACTTCTTCGTTGAAGTGAGGAATATATTATGGGTAATCCTTTCAAAGCTATGAAGTTCATTTTAAAATCCAAGAACCCATGGCATTGATGCTAAAACATATTACAATTTGATGTATCTCAAGAAGATACCATAAAAAAAACACAAAAGTTCTTTTGAAAACTTTCCTTGGATTTGTTCTGGGTTAAAATAAAAAAGGTTTGAAAATGGATATTTTGGATGAAAACCAAGCCTCTTGAGAAAGTGGATCCTATTTTGACTAATAACAATGGTAGCATGAGTTCCTTTGATCTTTAGTAGATAGTTCGATTTCTGATGAGAGTTTGAAGTTCAGGAGGAAAGTTTTGAATGGGAAGATTTTGTGTAGATGAGTTCATCATACAGATGGTAAGGATCTGTAGTTGAATAGAAGGTTTTGT